ATCCAGCAGCAAAAATGGCGATATCATTGTGATGGGCCATCAACAAGGGAGGGAAGGTGGCCCAATGCGGAACTTGGGTGCAGCAGCATCAAAGCGCAGATCAACAGCGGGGGGGTATATCGAATAGGGAGCTTCTAGAGAGGGGTGTGGCAATAATTGCCCCAAGTATAGGTCAAATGGTCGAGATAACTTAGGGCAAAGAGCAATACTAGCTGGCCAAGTTTGATATGATCATGCAAGTATCAAGCCTATCACACTGTCGAAATCCAGCGCTTTAAGATTATATCGTATCGGACCCGCCGTCGCCGCCGGATGAGTTTCATATGGCTAGGTCGGAGATACGAGCCACTGGAGGACGGAGCCCCAGAATCGGACCATTCCATTTGAAGGGGTCAAAAATAAAGATCTGTATTACCACCTGTGGACCTACAAGTAGAATGGTAAAATATGCCGACCAGGGAGAGTCGAACGCCCAGCATTGCCGCAATGGAGCAATGTGTTACCGATTACACCATAACCGGCAAAAATGTTAGGGTTTGGGTTAAAACTGACAGTGTTCACACCCAATAGTTACTTGGCTTTGTTGCTAGCGCCACGGCCGAATTTTTGCTCCGATGCTGGAGTTTTCTGTTGGCTGAGACGTCCAGTGCGACAGTAAAGGTATAGTATGATGACTTCGATCAACCTGCTATCGGACTGCGCGGGCCGTTTCGCGTGGTACCCCGCAGACCAGAACCATAAAAATATCTGGCTTGTCACATCATCGTGCGCGAGAGCATCGGGCCGCGCGATGTTGGCGGAAACAGACAGCCCAAGTCCGTGATAGAAGCTTTCCAAGCCAAGATCATAATCTAACAAAGAGATATTCTCAATTCGAAAAGAATCAGGGGTTTCCTTTTTTAGGCAGCAATAGAAATCTGGCGTGCCACTTTTTCAGCCCATGCAGAGTACTTCCGGAAGATATTCTGGTCCCGACGTTCTCCAGACAGCCTCACAGCCGTAGTTCAGAAAAGGATGGAGTCCACCTCGTTCTACTTACTACCAAAGCTGCCAAACATCGCGGATAGAGGCTCAAAGTTGGCCCAATTCATTCAAAGGAGTAAAAAACCACCACGTAAATAACCATGCCGGCCAGAACGACTCGAACGTCCAGAATCGCCATTACGTAAACAGCGAGCGTGTTACCCGTTACACCATGGCCGACAAAAATATACCATGGCATATTAAAGTTTACAGTTTACAGTGTTTTTAGTCCCTTGGTCCATTGTTGATGGCAACCATAATAGATGATTTGCTCCGTTGTTCGTGTTTTTTGGTGGCTGAGTTGTCCAAGGCGTCGGTGAAGGTATAAAATAATAAATTCAATGCTATCTGGAGGGAGCCTTGTGGACTAGAACGGCTTTGCATCATGGGTTGCTTCTACACCATCGCCGACAAGATATAGCAGCGAACATGTAGGTATTATTGTGATGGGCTATCTAAAAGGGAGGGAAGATTGCCTGGTGTGCAACTCGGCCCGTGGTAGCTTAACGCTCCGATCGACGGCGTTTGGGAATCTGTCAAATAGTCAACTTCTAGAGATCGGTCAACGGGTCTAGAATTTTCCCCCGTGAAAGTCAAATTCTTGGGATGGTAGGGTGTATCCCTGGACGAAAGGCAAGGAGAGGAGAGGGCACAAGCAATGCCAGTCAATGCTCCCTCTGACGATCGACGATCAATATATGCCGACGAGGAAGACTCGAACGTCCGGCTTTGCATTAAAATTGAAATATGTTTACCCGCTACGCCATCTCCGACAAAGTCCAGCAGCAAAAATGGCGATATCATTGTGATGGGCCATCAACAAGGGAGGGAAGGTGGCCCAATGCGGAACTTGGGTGCAGCAGCATCAAAACGCAGATCGACGGCGTTCTGGGGTAGATCGAATAGGGAGCTTCTATAGGCGGGTCGCTGTGGCAAAAATTGCTCCAAGTATAGATCAAATGGTCGAGATGGGCAGAGTGTGAGTCTCTCTGGAGCAAAGGGCACGGGAGAGGAACTTAAGGCAAAGAGCAATACTGGCTAGCCAATTTTTAATTTGATCATGCTAGTATTTAGCCTATCACACTGCCGAAATACAGCGGTTCTAAGATTATATTGTATTGAACCCACCGTCGCCACCGGATGAGGTTCATAGGGCTAGCTCGGACATACGAGCCACCAAAGGACGAAGCCCCAAAACCAGTCCATTCCATTTGAGGGGTCAAAATAAACGTCTGCGCTGTCGCCTGTGGGTCTACAGTCACAGTGGTAAAATATGCCGACCAGGGAGAGTCGAACGCCCAGCGTTGCCGTAACGGGGCAATGTGTTACCGATTACACCATAGCCGGCAAAAATGTTTAAGTTTGGGTTAAATTTGACAGTGTTCATACACAATAGCCAATTCATTCAAAGGAGTCAAAAGCCACCACGCAAACATGCATGCCGGCCAGAACGACTCGAACGTCCAGAATTGCCGTCAAACAGCAGCGTGTTACCCGTTACACCATGACCGACGAAAATATTTCCCGACATAGTAAAGTTTAAGGCTTACAGCATTTTTAGTCCCTTGGTCCATTGTTGCTGGCAACCTTAATAGATGCTTTGTTCCGTTGTTTGTGTTTTATGGTGGCTGAGTCGTCCAAGGCGACGCTGAAGGTATAAAATAGTAAATTCAATGCATTGGACTGTCCTAGGGTCGGTTTGGAGGGAGCCTTGTGGACGAGAACGGCTTTTGCATCATGAGTCCAACACGTTCACCCGCTACACCATCGCCGACAAAATATAGCAGCGATAATGTGGGTCTTCCTGTGATGGGCTCTCTACGAGGAAGGGTAGCCTGGTGTAGAACTCCGTTCGAAGGAGTCAAAAGGAACCATCAGAGCGGCCATCTGTGAGTCTAATATCAGAGCTATATAATTAAAAATATGCCGACTAGGACGACTCGAACGTCCAGCTTTTTTTTACCGAAAAGTAATGTGTTGCCCGTTACACCATAGCCGACCAAAAACTGATACGGCCAGGTTCAAATCGCACAGCGTTTTTAGCTCCTTTGTTTCATGGTTGATGGCAACCATAATAGATGCTTTGATCCGGTGTTGATCCTTGAATTCCTGGTGGCCGAGTCGTTTAAGGCGACGGTGAAGGTATAGGGCATTGCATTCGATGCAACCTACCATTGGACTGCCCCGAGGTCGGTTTGGAGGGAGCTTTGCGGACTAGAATCACTTTGCATCACGAGTACAACATGTTTACCCGCTACACCATCGCCGACAAAATATAGCAGCGAGAATGCGGGTATTTCTGTGATGGGCTCTCTACGAGGGAGGGACCTGGTGTAGAACTCGGCCCGAAGGAGTCAAAAGGAACCATCAGAGCAGCCACCTGCGGGTCTAATATCAGAGCTATATAATTAAAAATATGTCGACTAGGACGACTCGAACGTCCAGCTTTTTTTAGAAGAAAAGGAATGTGTTACCCGTTACACCATAGCCGACAAAAAAACTGAGATGGTCAGGTTCAGATCGCACAGCGGTTTTCTTTCCTTTGTTTTGTGGTTGATGGAAACCATAATAAATGCTTTGATCATGTGTTGATGCTTCCTGGTGATCGAGTCGTTTGGGGCGACAATGAAGGTGTGGTACGATGCATTTGATGCAACCTACCATCGGTCCAAGGACGAGTGTGTGCAGACTAGAACAGCTCAGATATCTTGCTCGGTTAAATCCTCTGCTTGTCATGTCATTCTATGCAAGAGCTACATTTTGGTTTTCTCGACCCTATTAGATCCATTTGTGATGTCAGCCTCGGTACTGCCCAGGTCCGGGATATAGCTGAAGCTCGAGTCGAACGCCCAGCGTTGCCGTAACGGAGCAATGTGTTACCGATTACACGACAGCTGGCAAAAACGTTAGAGTTTGGTTTAAAATACATAGTGCTTATACACTATAGCTACTTAGCTCTGTCGTTAGCGCCACGGCCGAATCTTTGTTCCAATGCCGGAGTGTCCTGTTGGCTGAGGCGTCCAGTGCGACAGCGAAGGTCTGATACGATGACTTTGATCAACCTGCTATCGGACTGCCCGGGGCCGTTTCGCGTGGTACCCCGCAGATTAGATCCATAGAAATATCCTGCTTGTCACATCATCGTGCGCAAGAGCGTCGGCCGCGCGATGTTGGTGGAAACATCCTGTCCAAGTCTGTAATAGAAGCTTCCCAAGCCAAGATAACGATCCAACGAAGATTCGAAAGAACCAGGGGTTAGCCCAATTCATTTAAAGGAGTCAAAAGCTACCACGTGGATATCCATGCCGGCCAGAACGACTCGAACGTCCAGAATCGCCATCACGTAAACTTAAGAGCGGTGTGTTACCCGTTACACCATGGCCGACAAAAATATAACAGGATTTAGAGTCTACAGCAATTTTAGTCCCTTGGTCCATTGTCGATAGCAACCTCGATAGATGCTTTGCTCTGTTGTTTATGTTTTCTGGTGGCTGACGGTGAAGGTGACAATAATACATTCAAAGCATTGGACTGTCCTAGAGCCGGTCTGGAGGGAGCATTGTGGACTAGAAAGGCTTTGCATCACGAGCTGCTTCTACACCATCGCGGACAGAATATAGCAACGAAGATGTGAGTATTACTATATATATATGATGGACTATTTACAAGGGAGGGAAGGTAGCCTGATATGGAACCCGGCCTGTAGTAGCTTCAACGCTCAGATCGACGGCGTTTGGGGATCTGTCAAATAGTCAACTTCTAGAGATGGGTCAACGGGTCTAGAATTTCCCCCAGCGTAGGTCAAATTATTGAGATGGTAGAGTGTCTCCCTGGACCGGGGGGCACTGGAGAGGAGAGGGCAGCGAGCAATACCAGTTAGCTGAGTCTTGAACTGCCCGAGTAAGTACTTTGCGTATTACACCATCAAGATCCAATGGTTTTAAGCTTGTATTGAGTTGGACCCGCAATCACGGGATGTCATATGCCAGGGTCGGGGAATACGAGTCACTGAAGGTTGAAGCCCCAAAGTTGGTACATTCAGTTCGAAGGAGCCAACAGTAGCCATAAGAGCGGCCATCTGTGAGTCTGAGATTAAAATCGTAAAATAAACAATTTGCCGACCAGGACGACTCGAACGTCCAGCATTGTCTTAAAGAAAGCAATGTGTTACCCGTTACACCATAGCCGACAAAAAATTGATTGGGTCAGGTTTAAATTCCACAGCGTTTTTAGTTCCTCGGCTCTATAGTCGGTGGCAACCATTTTGATCCGTCGTCGATGCTTTCTAATGGCCGAGTCGTTTAAGGCGGCAGTAAAGTCATAATACATTGCATTCGATGCAACCTACCATAATATTGCACTGTCCCTGTTGCGGACTAGAACGGCTTTGCATCATGAGTACAACATGTTTACCCACTACACCATCGCCGACAAAATATGGCAGCGAGAATGTGGGTATTCCTGTAATATCAAAGCTGTATAATTAAAAATATGCCGA